GGATGCGATTCCCTTTTACAGTAAGAACAAGCCTACACGTACTGCCAAGGAAATAAAACAGAAAACGGGCCTCTCCAAGTCCACAATATGTTGTATACTTTCTAAAATCAAAAAATATGGGACGTAGCCCATCGCAACGAAGCAGCCGTCTTAAAAAAATTACCCCGCACTTTCCAAGCCCTATGTCAATATATGGGCTGCTGTCAATAGAAATCAAGCAGATTGACATTTTAAACGTTTAATGTCTCAATTTTCATTACTCATATCTCGGTAAATTTTAAAGCTAATTTTATGATTTAATATTCAAAAAAAAAAAAAATCTAAAATTCTTTTGATTATTGAATTATTCAAAATTCATTGAGATATGAACTGTGAAAGTTATTAATTTTTTAAAATGTCAATCTACTTGATTTCTATTGACAGCAGCCCATATTATAAAGGATCCTGCAATAACTTCGAACTTTGGCTGCAAACATTATTAGATAAAGGTGTTAAGGTAACTCATGCAACAGTTTGTAATCATTTAAATTGTCTTGGGTACAAAGAAAATCGGGCCGAAGCAACCCCGATGCTAACGAAACATATTAAAGCTCGTATTGCTTGGGCAGAGAAACATTCCAATGATAACTGGGAAAATACTGTTTTTTCTGATGAAACTTTAGACTGTTTAGGAATACCATCCAGTATTGGCACAGGGGAAAACGTCCAGTTAGAAGGATTTCAAAAGAGACAAAAAATTTCTGCCCGGGGCGCTTTTTGGCAGGAGGTAAAGTCAAACTTTTTTGTTTCCGTCAAAATATGAACGACCACTTTTATACAAAAATCTTGAAGAAACACGTTCCTGAAATTAAGAAGGTGCTTTGTGATCGTTGGAGGTTCCAATCGGACAACGATCTCAAACACCGAAGCCGAGGAGCCAAAAAATTCATTAAAAAAAAAATTCTTCAATAATCGATTGACCTTCTGATAGTCCCAATTTAAATCATCTAAAGAACCTGTGGGAAATTAAGATTAACGTTGAGAAGAGTCGCAATGAAGGAATGGGATAAAATCCTAATTGATATTAATATGTTCCATGTCTGAACGATGTAGGCTTGTTCTTACTGTAAAAGGGAATCGCATCCCTTATTAAATGTTTTTTGTAAATCAAATTTTTAGTCTTGTGGCCATATTTTGGGTTTGACTCTCGTTCGGCCGATCTCACGTGATTGTCCCGTGAAGTGACTTTTTTAACATACTGTAAACAACTAGTGTTCGACCGACATAAACAAGCAAAAACTTGATAGTCAAATACTTGAACATTAAATAATCATAGATCAAATCAGTTAAATGTATGTGTATACATATGTTGTAAGGGATTTTAGACTTATATAAACCCTATACCCTAACCCTAAAATTCCAAATCCACTTAAGTCCCGTTCCCACTTACAGCATATACATATTGATAATATAGTGACTATTATCATAGAGATGTATGTACGTATATACATATAACTGATTTGATCTATGATTATTTGACGTCCGATCTAATCACAAGTATTTGACTATCAAGTTCTTGCTTGATTTTATCGAGTACTACAAATAACTTACTTTCAGTATATGTCCAACCTCTCTCACTGATCTTTTTGTAAAAAGATCTCAACAACGGCGCTTTTTGTTCAATAGGTAAAGTCATGTCATCCTCTATTGTATCCATTCCACGTAAACATAAATAAAATATACAAACCTGTAATGAAAATTCAAATTATAAATATTTTGCTTAAGTTTCCAGTGATGGTCTTTTAAAACTTACAAGATCACGAAGTTTTGGATCTAAATCCATTATAATATTTGCAAATGAACCTGATGTCAGTTTTAAAAAATGATAACACCGTTGCTTTGCCTTACTCGAAGTAGAAATATCCACTATATTTGATTGTCTGAAAAGTTGATACCTTACAAGAGCAATCAGTTCTGAAGGATAGAAAAGTGATTCAATAAAGTTAGTTAACATAGTTGAATAAGTCAGAATAATTTAAATTTTATTGTTAGAGATGTGTGTTTGTAAGTAGTGTGGATAAATACAAATGGAGAAAGGTTTAGGTTGATTCGACTCTGCAATTTATTGTACATGATACGTAAAAATAATTAAAATTCTATTTTTGGAGTAATGATAAGCGTGCGTTACAAACTAAGATCACCAGATCTTACCGTTACATCAAGAATCCACCAGGTACGTACGTACGTACGTACGTACTGTAACGAATTAATTTTGATTATCTAACTAGATTAGTATCATGATTGTTAAAGCCCTCGAGTGTGCATATTGACATGAGGCTAACACGATAGCGTGATGCCTCTGATGTCATAAAGTAGGTTCCAGAATGTAATCCAAATGTATAAAAGTGAAGCCTTCATTCTAATAAACGGGAGAAGCTCATTCTCATAATAAAGTAACCTGGATATAATGATATTCTCTCCTTAATTTCGCACCATCATTAAGTCGCCCTAATAGAATTACTATGCCCTATAGAAGTCTTT